GCCAGCGCCCGCCATCAGGGCCCCGGCGCCAGCCGCGTGCTTACCCACAACGAGGGCGGTGCACTCCACGGGGACGGCTCCCACCGCCAGGACCAGCCGGTCGATCTGGCCGATCGCCCGCACGCTGTGCGGCAACGAAATCCTCTCCTCCTCGTTACCAAAGGCCTTGAGACGCTCCTTCAACCTATCACAGTGAAAACAGGCTGGTACGAAAGTGCCACGGTGCAGCCGATCTGGGAAGGAGCAAACGGCGTCTGAAGGGGACTCGCGCGCCGGGGCGCCTAGCCTGCTCCTATTGCCCTGCTCCTGCTGCAGGCTGCGTCCCTGGCAGGTTGCCTGCGCTGATCTGTGTACAGCCAGCAGCAGATTTCCACTTCAGATTATAACACACTTCCAAGTTATAGCCCTGGGGTAGGATCGGGCCTTGCACAAAGCAGAGCTTTGAATGTAATTAATAACTCGCCTTTTCTCTTTGCCCGAGGAATCTTTTTTCTACGCTTCCTCAAGACTTAAGAAGCTGCTAATCTAAAATTGCTTCTCATTGACGTTGGTGGAAGCAAGCGATGCTCCACTTTGACTTCCCAATGGAGCTGACGACATTTTTGTCTCCGTGCCTTACAGCCAGGCCAGCACGTGCCATTCTCACTTACTAGCAGCTATCAGTGCTGGCTTTCTTCAGAGAAAGTGGTGACGTATAAATCCTGTTGCAGCCCCAGAAGAGGAAAAAGGGATATCTCAAGTACGGTAGTTTCTCCTATCTGCTTTCCATGAACTGTTCTGGTAACACTGATGAATTACTTAGCTTTTGTTTGTGTTTTAAATTGAACTAGACTCTAACGCAGTCCGAGGCAGTAATTCCTCTCTCCGTTAACAGCTCTGTTATTCTTGATTGTCTAAGCTGAGGTGAGGGGATGAGCTTGCAGGGCACTGGGACACAATGCAAAAAGGGTTTTACAAAGAAAGGGAGCGTTCAGCCTGCGTGAGGCACGCGCCGCTGCGAGGTGACGAGACCCCAGACCCAGGCAAGTCTGTCGCCACCGAGCCCACGCTGCACTCAGCGGTGTTCAACAAAACGAACCGCAGTACGCTAAAGCACAGGGCAGGGCCCTTCCTGCCCTGGCAGGAACGAGAGCAAGCGCTCTCAGCACGGCTCCTCTCCCGCCGCCGTCCTGGGCTGGATTTAAACAAAACCCATGTTTTATCGTTGCTGCACGCGCCAGACTGCTTTGAAGCAAAACGTCACAGAGTGCTGCTCTGCTGTCGCACAGGGACCTACTGCCGCGCAGGCAAGAAACGCAGGGCAACGCTCTGGTTCCTAACTCACTTTGCTAATCTGCACACACGAGCTGCAGCGGGGCCGCGGGAGCTGGCGGGGGGCTGGCCTGGCTCACGGCCCCGAACAACGCTCCTGTGCGAGTCCAGCAGGAAAACGCCTGAACCCGGGAGCAGAAACCGGCTCAGACCTACTTCCTACGCGCACTTTGAAGGGAAGGACTTTTAAAGCAGACTACTGATGCAGCCAGTACACAGGACACAAACGAGTAACACAGACAGCATATGACACATTGCACCTGAGACATTTTGAGCAGCCAATATAACATCGTGCAGGATGGACCCTCCCTGCATGCACTGTTAAAATCTGTAAACTGAGCTGCTTCCTAGTTGTGGCAGGTTTGTAGCAAGTGCAGCCACTTTCCAGCCACTACAGACTGTTGTGCAAATAAGCAATTACAGTCTTTACAGAAAATGGGCATTACTCATTCAGGGTCCTGCAGGAGGGCTCAGGGAACAATTGCACCTGCATAAACATTGCGAGTCAGCAGTTAAGAGCGATGCCTCTGTGGGGATAAAACTCCAAAAGCTCTTTGATACCCTCTGAACCAATGCCCTGATTCTGCTGCTCGGAAATCAATGGGAGCTTTGCTCTGAATGGCTGACACTCAGTTCCCTAACACTGCTTAATATCCCCTCCTCCTCCAAGAAAATTATTCCCTCCTTTTAACGGGGAGAAATTTGCCGACGGGAGCAGCAGCGGCAGC